ACATAGAATAGGTGAATGTAAACTGGAGTGGGGTTCTTTTGTATTTTGAGACATTTCTGTTTTTATTCACTCTATATTAATAAACAAATTACCAAACTTAATCTCTCAAATTCCCATTATCTTGATTTGTGAATATTCTACCTTCTTATTGGAGTTTAAGTTGTATGATACGTATGAAGAACATCTCACCGAGTGTGGTGGTTTGTGTTCACTCAGTCAGTACATATTAGCTCTTTTTTCCCTTTCAAGTCAGTAGGCCACTAACCTTAATAATTTCTTAATGAAACATCTGCCTACCATTATATTTTCTTTTGTCTTTTTCTTTTTAGTAATCTTTTTGTTGTTGTTTTTTGTTTGCATTGAAGTTGCATGCATTCCAGGTCAGGTCCTAATTAACTTTGCTTCACCTGAAATTATACTTGAAAGCCATTTATGCCTTTGAAATGCAATGATTTTTAAACTAGCAAATTCAAAGCCTTATTGCTCTTAACTAATTTCCAAGTAATATGTACACCAAATATGGAATCCACCTATTATCAATGGGAATCCTCATACTCATTCACATATAGATTTATGATAGGCAATAAGGCCAAGAGTGCAATTTTTGGCAACAGATCTTTGGTGTCCCTATGCTGAGCTATCATGATTAGCCTATAAAGTGGAGAAAATAATACACAGATGCTAGGGTTGTTATAATAATTAAATTAGCTAATGTATGGGAAATCATTTGCAGTAATACCAAATACAAAGTAACCAGCATGTTTGTGTTAATTATTGCTGCTATTATTATTATTATCATTATGTGGATCAATAAAGAAATATTAGAGGTCTCTGAAATGTGGATCTATAATGATAGCCGCACACCAGTAGAGCACTTTTCTGTTCCAGAGTGCTGTCTTACCGCAAACTTTTTCCCATGAAGATTTTATTTAATCTATACCACTCACCATATTACATATGGAGAAAGTGGGCTAAGAGCAGTTAAACTGTTTTCCGTGTCACACAATAAGTAAATGATAAAAATAAACTAAAATTCCAAATCCGATTCCATTTATTTACCATACTCCAGCTAAAGCAGAAAGAGGTATTATAAATCTATAGACCACAGGTGGAATACAAACCAAAGTTATAATCTGATTGCAGTGAGATCATTGACAACTTTTTTGGCGTTGGCCAAATATTAAATATTCTCCTTACTTCTCTCCTAGGAGTTAGACCCTGTCTGCACAAGCATTGCACAAACCACTTTATTTGAAAGATCACGATGTCAGCAGGTATACACCATTGGGAAAAATTAATTTTAATATGGATTGAAATGCTGTGAAAGATGTGTAGTGCTCTAGGTAAGAAGCAGACATCAAAGAGTTGAAGTTTCATGTGATCCCAGTTCTTCTGAGTCAAACAGTAGAGCTAACTTACTCATTTGCTATTTTTTAAATTATACCATGTTACTTCTCTGGAAATATTTAAACACTAAATAAGGGAAATTGTTTTTAAGAGTACTATAGCCATTCATAAAGACATCCTGGTGTACAGATTTTCTATGGACTTTGGAATCCCCTGTCAATGCATGAGAATAAATACATAAATTCATTTCCTATAGCTGTTTTCATTTTGTATTAATTGAATAACACATGTGATCTTCGCTGATAGCAATTGGTAATTTGCCATGAAATAAGGATGTGATAATTGTCACAGACTTCAATAACACACTTTCATTCATTGTATATTAACAGATCCCACTGCATCTTTCCACATACTTTTGAAGTTTTTTTTTTTTTTTCTTTCTATAATATGTGTTAAATGCACCTGTGATGTTCAGGTCAATTGTTAACTGGCAATCATTTGTATATTAAAATTACCTCTTAAAAACAAGACAGCATCTCTAGACAGACTGATAACATCCAATGCAGGGCTATTAAGCACCATTATATGGTGATGAGCCATTGCTAATGACAAACACATCTACATCCTGTATTAGGGCAGAGAATCTGATCCAACCTCCTGCAAGAGTCGGAAGTAACTGATGCATTCTGAAGGAATCTACAAGCCCCTTTTCTGAATTAATCCACTGGAGATGAGAGAACTAATGACAAATCTTGGTTCAAAGGATCTCTTCCTCACTGCCATTGCTGTTTGCTATTTATGCATTTCCATTTTCTTTTGAAGTTTAACTTTACCTTTATCCTTTGAGTAAGTTATTTTTTTTACAATACCATATTCTTTTTTTAAGATTTTTATTTATTCATGAGAGACACAGAGATAAGGCAGAGAGATAGATAGAGGGAGAAGCAGGCTTTCCACAAGGAGCCTGATGTAGAACTTGATTCCTGGACTCCAGGATCATGCCCTGAGCCAAAGGCAGATGCTCAACCGCTGAGCCACACAGGCATCCCTTAAATACATTTCAGAGCCATCTTTGGTTCTTTTCTATTTCCTAGACCCCCTCTGAAACTAGACACTGTCAAAGCTATCTCTGAAATGTCACTCCAAAATGTTTGCTTCTATCTCCATTGCTAATGCTTTCCTTCACCCCTCATTTCTTTTTTCTTACACAGATCCAATAGCTGTTTCATTTATCATCCCATATCCTGTCACTTACTTTTCCAAATCCTGAGACTGTCTATCTAAAACACAGATCTGAACATGTCATTTTCTCTTCTTAAATAACTTTTCTTTTCTTTCTTGCCCAGTGAATGTCTTCTCAATCTTTCAAGACCAAAGTCAACTGTTACAATTCCTCTATATCCTTTCTTGACTTCTCCAGGCAGATTTAGTCTCTCTTGTCTGAATTCCAATAGCCCTTCTAAAAACATGTTACAGCACTGTCACTTCCTCTGTATGCCGAAGTGATCAAAGTAATACAGACTTCGAGAAATGCACCAATGTAACAGTACTCAGAATTTTTTTTTTCAGGATCCCAGGCTTTTGCTGGGTAGTGAAATTCCTACTGTTAATCACCAGTAGACTATAAGCCCAAGAGAACATACAACTAGTTTGTATAAAGGGTTAAAATCTTTTCTGCAATATCGTACCAGGAGTGGCAAGCCCCAAGGGTAAAGGATAGTGTCTGTGTGTGTGTGTGTGTGTGTGCATCTATGCACACTAAACCCAAAACCTCAGAATATGTTTCCCTGGATTCTATTAAGTGTCCTTTTCTCCTTGTTAAACTAGAACCCACACAGCGTACTTTCCCAGATTTTTTCACTCAGGTCATCTACTTCTGAGAACAATTAATTAGCCTTGCCCCACCTTACTTTCCTGTTTCTTGTTCCATTTTCCCTCCCTTCATAACTAACCTAAGTGACTATATCCTCTGTAAGTGCCAAACGAGAGAAACAGTCTCACTTTTATCACACCCTGTGGCTAATGGTGTATATAAGGGATTTTTCTTTGTTGTTCCATTTGGCTAGAATTTATTTGACAAGCCTCTGATATTTGTTTAATTCAGTGTCTGGTACATGTTAGGAGTAGGTACTAAATGTGCATCTGTTGGAATGGAATATTACTCAGCCATCAGTAAGGACGAATACTTACCATCTACATCGACATGGATGGAACTGGAGGGGATTATGCGGAGTGAAATAAGTCAGCTGGAGAAAGTCAATTATCATATGGTCTCATCCATGTGACATATAAGAAATAGTGAAAGGGATCATAAGGGAAGGGGAGGAGAATGAGTGGGGAAAAATTAGAGAGGAAGACAAGCCATAAGAGACTCCTAATTTTGGGAAACAAACAAAAGGTTGCAGAAGGGGAGTTGGGTGGGGTGATAGGGTAACTGGGTGATGGGTATTAAGGAGGGCACATGGTGGGATGAGCACTGAATGTTATACTATATGTTGGCAAATTGAATTTAAATAAAATTTTTAAAAAATTTTAAAATAAATGTGTATTTGTTGAATGAATAAACATACTATTTTTTGTAAAAAGTTAGTCTTAGGTAAAGAAGTGAAGAAGTAGGTAAATAAGCCTTAGATCTGAATTTATTTTTTATTTTTTTTTATTTTTATTTATTTATGATAGTCACACACACACAGAGAGAGAGAGAGACAGAGACATAGGCAGAGGGAGAAGCAGGCTCCATGCACCGGGAGCCCGACGTGGGATTTGATCCCGGGTCTCCAGGATCGCGCCCTGGGCCAAAGGCAGGCACCAAACCGCTGCGCCACCCAGGGATCCCTAGATCTGAATTTAATATGACCTAGATTCTTGGCCAAAGAAAATCTTAGAGCCCATCGAATGGGGTTAAGTCTTACAGAAACATACTAGAAAGACAGCAAAACAGCCTAGAAAGGATTCTAGGATAGCTCTGTGCTTGCATTGTAGTTATTCTATGTGTTGTTTATTGCCCTTCCATTATCTGACTATTCAGTAAAATGTTATTAATGGTTACAATTTGGTCTCAGAGACATAGAAAATTAGAGAAGTGCTGTGCTCATCTGTCAGAAAAGTAATGCAGAGAACAGTTTTCTGGTCCCTGAATACTGTTCCCTATTCTTATAGCAGAGAAGAGTGAAGGAGGGTAGCAGAGGGCAGCTGCATGTGGAGGAAGGGGAGGAGGAGGAAAGGGAGGAGGAGGAAAGGGAGGAAGAGGATGAGAGAATGAGCACACAAAAGTTTTCTTGTACCATCATAATCAGCATATGAAAAAGAATTATGATCTTATATTGTGGCTACATGTACATGAGGTCTGGGATATTGGGGCTCATATATTTTCTATTTCTACAACTACCAGGAGTTTCCTTCAGCGAAAAGATTATGCCATTTTTATCTTGGTACTCCCAAGCACATTTATATGGAGGCGACATGGATTGACACTTACCCCAAATCATTCATTCATTCACTCACTCAGACATACATTTGATATGTGTTTATTAAACATTTAACGTGAGATGCTAACAAAACTGGCAAATATGATAAGGACATATATGATATCATATCAAATATGATATAGAGGTGTAGGAAAGGTGTTCATTCTCTAAGAATGGGGAGTATTTGTGTTCTCTTTGTTAGCACAGATACTAAAATCAAAACAATATAGAGAAGATTAGCATGGCCCCTGTGCAAGGATGATACACAAATTCATGAAGTGTTCCGTTTCTTTGTGGGAGATATAGGCTTCTATTTATGGAATGAGTATATCACAAGAATAAAAAGCACAATGTAGGGAATACAGTCAATGGTATTATAATAACATTGATTAGTGACAAATGGTAGCTACACGTGTGGTGAGCATAGCATAACATAGAAGTATAGAGATGTTGAATTACTATGTGGTATACCTGAAGCTAATGTAACATTGTGTGTCAACTGTACTAAAATTAAAAACTTGGAAAAAAAAGAATGGGGAATAATGGGGGAATGGCTGATGGAAGGGGACATTTCTAGGCTTAAGCATGACATTCCTGGGGTTTCTGTGCAGCCAGTCTCTTTTTTCACAGAACAGAAGGATGCATGCCTTGGGGTGGGCCAGAGAAGGTCTTGTTAGAGCATTGCTAGGGCCATTCAAGGTCATACACTGGAACCTAGAAGACCAGAGCTGGGTATGGAAAGCCTAAAAAGTGTAGAAAAGTTTTGAGGGATCAGTCTGGGAAACAGTTACTCTTCAGCGCAGAAACTCAAACCAGAAAAATCAAGGTGAATGATAAGTCAGAGGGTAGGGGTGATACTAAGCATGGGCCAAGGGAACCCAGCTGAAAGCATCAGGTAAGGACCAGAAAAGATGAGTTATGAGCTGGGTTTAAAGCCTGACTACAGTTTAATAAGGCAAATCCTAGCTCTTCCTCAGGAAGGCCATTAAGGCTGACAGTAGAGGCTGGAAGCAAAAAAGGGGACAAAAAAAGGAATAGAAGGAGTCAGTGAAAAGCAGAAATGACCATCAGTAATCTGTAAGAATAATTCAGTAGTCTGTTTTCATTTCTGTATTAGGAGTTTCAAGAAAGACCCATTCTAATAGGATTTCAAGAGCATAAACTGTTTGTAAATTGTAGAATGGAGTTTACATGTGTAAGCCAGAGCTAAGGTAATTTTAAGAATTTTGCCCAAATAAGAGTAACAGATAATCTCCAGAAAATAAATCTTAGAGTAAAAATATGGATAAAATATCCTCATCTGATCATTAATTTACAGAGCAGAGATTCCCTTCATATAACCAAAGCCCAAGGAAAACAGAGAAACCTTAAATGTCCAAGAGGGTGAAATAGGAGAAATTGGTCCTCCCCTGGAAATATAGGATGGGAAAATGGGGTCACTGACTCATGACTGAAGTATTGGCATAACTGTTGTTGGTATAAGTATTAACATTCACTCCTGCAGACTCTAAATACTGATCTAATGGAATTTTGTCTTATAATTTCTTATTCTATAAATTTTCATTTATGCTTTTATCTCACCCACTAGAATAATGATTTTTAATCCTAGTGTACATTAAATAATTTTTCATTTGCTTCTTAAATAGATATTCCAGGGCTTTACCTATAGGAATTCCAATTTAATTGGTGTGGGTTGGATTGTGGTCACTAGTATTTTTAAAACGTTCCTAGGTAATTATAATGTGTATTCAGAGTTAAAATTTCCACAGCTCATTAAAATATCATTAACTGCTAAACAGAGTTCCCAATGGATTATTTTTGGGCTGCTAGAAAAATCTACATCTCAGATTGAGGATCATTGCTTATTAAAGATTATTTTTAAATGAACGTGAAGATTTTCTAAAATGTCTTAAAATATCCCATAATAAGAGGCTTCTGAATCAAGATTTTGAGAATCAACATTACCTCCTTTCTTCCTCAAAATCTGAAAGGAATAATCCAAAAGAATAATCCAAACTCCAAAAATTTCAAAAGAAAAAAGTTATAACCTAACAGTACTAGGAAATTTCTGTCCACATGCCAAAATAAGGAATTTACAGACAATAAAAAGATATGATTAAGAAACTAAAACCCAAGACATGCTTGACATGTGACAGATGAAAAGGGAAGTTTTCTCTCAACAAATCCTAGAATAACAAAATATAAGAGGCAGCAGGAAATAGGAACAAGAGCCAGAAGTGGGGAATTCAGTAAGTTATTAGTTAAAGGACTGGAAAACAGCTCCTCTGACCCTGGCTGAGCATCTGGCAATGTGGGATGCTAAGAAAAAAACAAAGTAATATGAACAAAGTGCTGGAAAATTAATGAGAATAACTTTTTTAAAATATAAAGAGAATGTATGAAATATACATTTTGAGAATAATTTAAAATAACATTTTAAGAATAATTATAGGTGAATACTCATGTAAGCAGCACCCTAATTAAGAACAAACATTGCTAGTACCTTAGAATTTCTTACCACAAGAATATCGATAAATTAATTTGATGGATATCATTTATTTCTTTATTTTATACAAAATATCTGACTATGTCTCTGCCTCTCTCTCTGTGTCTTTCATGAATAAATAAAATCTTAAAATAAATAAATTTGTCTTACAAATAGTGCTGCATTAACATTTTTGTAATAATATCTATGTGTATGTGTAAAATTTTGTTATATTCCCAAAAGTGATATATTCATATTTTCCACTTTACTAGGCCATGCCAAACTATTTTCAAAGTACTTGGACCAACTTATACTTCCTCTAGAAGTATATGAGAAACTTTGTTGTTTTACATCCTTGCCATCATCTGGATTATCAAAGTTTTACTTTTTAAAATTAATTTATTTGACAGAGAGACAGAGCAAGAGAGCACAAGCAGAGGGAGCAGCAGAGGGAGTGGGAGAAGCAGGCTCTCTGCTGAGAAAGGAGCCTGATGCAGAGCTGGATCCCAGGACCTTGAGATCATGACCAGAGCCAAAAGTGGATGCTCAACTGACTGAGCCACCCAGCTGCCCCTGGATTATCAAAGTTTTAAACTTTAATCCGTGTATATATAAAATTATTTCATTCTGTCTTAAACTAGAATTTGATTAAAAATGAAACTAAGCATCTTTTTCAGTTTATTAGTCATTTGGATTTACTTCTTTGTGAATTTTCTGCTCAAACTTTTACCAGTAATTTTTCTATTAGGGTTGTCTACATTTTTCTCTTATTGACTTATGACATTTCATTAAATAATTAAAAAAATATTTGCTGGGCACATTCTGTGTGCCACGTCCTGTTTAAAGACTCACAGAGCACCAATGGAAAATATACACACATACCAAACAAAATATTCTGTGTTCTTAGAGACCTAAGCTTTTTGGTGTTGATAGTAGTGAAAGAGGAAAAATAGGCTAAATAAAGATTTATACATATAAAATAAATTCTATCAGTAAAAACTTTAAAAAAAAATACTAATTAAGCAAGGTAAGGAGAATAGGACTGTGGATGTTTTGTGAGAATGGAACAGATTATAGTTCCGATTATTGTAAGAATAAGCCTTATGGAGATGAGGGAGATAGTGGAGTTGAAACCTTTGTCACCCCATGATGAACCGAGATCCTTTCCTAACCTGTATTGGACATGTAACAGGAGCAAAATACCTTGTTGTGTAAAGTTCTTGAAATCTATAGATGGTATTTTACTATAGTGTCACTGATTCATCCTGCCTGACACAGATAAATTATGAGAAGCAAACCAAAAAAGCTGTTTAGATAATCTTGGAGAGTGGAATCCTTACACAAAACAAAAACACTGAGAAACTCTAAAGTAAGAGAATAAATTTATTACATAAAAATTAAAGTCTCTACAGAAAAGACACTGAAAAATATAGAGAGTATCAACACACTGTTAACAAAATTGCGGATATATGCAAAGCAGATATCCATAATATATGAAGATTTCCAATAGACCAATAACAGAACAACCCTAGAAACATGGACAAGGGATATGGAAAGGTTATTCACATAGAAGAGCTGTATTTAATTATATAGAATAATGTTCACCACACACACACACACACACACACACACACACACACACACACACAAAATCATCCCCCAAATCAGTTTTGGTTTTATGTTGTCTTTCCATAATGTAATGTTGGGTAAAGTGAGGTGCTTCCCTATGGTACTGCTCAGTAGAGCATAGATGTTTGGGGAGGGTTGTTTCCGAGTTTTTGAACCATGAAATTGATCTTTGGTCCTCATGGAGTGTTGTATTAAAGACATAATGAGGAAAAATGAGGAAGAGACATCAAAGTACCAAGCTCCAGGTTCGTTGCCCTTTCCCCTCCAGAGGATTTGCCCAAGTAATTTATTGAGAATAGCAATTTTTAATATATCTCCCTACCTTTGTTGCCAGGTCTTTCTGTGACTTTTAAGATGGCTAACTAATAATAACACTTTATGAAAACATTACAATCACACAATAGAATAGCAGTTAAATTCCTGCTGGTGAAATGTGTTAATATTTTCTGTTTAAAAACGCAGTGCTATTTTGTCCCTTTGGATAAGCTAGCTGAAGTTTCTTTAAAAGCTCAGCTAAACACACACCATCCTGTGAAATATCACTTCTGCTAGAGAGTAGACATTTGGAACCTCAGGGACAGTTAAGCAGCTGAGGTGTGAGAATAGGCTGCTGTTTTAATGATTCTGTGACAGATTCTGAGCTCAATGGAGTTATTATGCCAAGCATTATGCTTTTCTCACTTTGATCTCATAGTGGATAATTTTGAGAATGAATACTGGCAATAATCCTCCTTCATGGCATGAAAGCAACTTAATATCGTCTCAAGAGCACTAGTTCTGGAGACAGACTGCTGGGGTTTGAATCCTGTGTTCACCAGTGCTGTGCTGTGAGGCTACAGACAAGTTACTCCATCTCTCTGAGCCCAGTTTTCTCATCTGAAAAAATTGTACATTCCACATAGGCTTGTTGTAAAGATTAAACAAAATAGTGTGTATGAAGCACCAGAGAAAAAAGAAGCAGTAGAGGAATGTTGGTCATCCATTTGTTTATACTGATTTTGCACAAGAAAGCAGCACTGAAAGATGCAGAATCCCAATGGACCTGAGAAGCTGGAGAGTGTATTTTATGGGAATAATTAGATGAAATCTAATTAAATGAAATATAAATTGTTTAGAACAGTACCTGGCACATAATACTTGATTAATAACCTTAGGTCTCATCTTTATTTTTGGCAATAT